GCTAGGGGCTAGGGGTTCTAGTGTAGGATATATGGTTAGGCTAGGGGCTAGGGGTTCTAGTGTAGGATATATGGTTAGGCTAGGGGCTAGGAGTACTAGTGTAGGATATATGGTTAGGCTAGGGGTTAGAAGTGCTAGTGTAGGATATATGGTTAGGCTAGGGGTGCTATATGGTTGGGCTAGGCTAGGGGCTAGGGGTTCTAGTGTAGGATAAATGGTTAGGCTAGGGGTGCCATACGGTTGGGCTATGCTAGGGGCTAGGGGTTCTAGTGTAGGATATATGGTTAGGCTAGGGGCTAGGGGTGCTAGAGTAGAATATATGGTTGGGCTATGCTAGGGGCTAAGGGTGCTATTGTAGGATATATGGTTGGGGTATGCTAGGGGCTAGGGTTGCTAGTGTAGGATATATAGCTAGTTGGGCTAGGATGGGGCTAGAGAAGCTAATTAATAATAAGGAATATTTTGTAAAGAATTAAATAAAAGGATTAAGAAACACCCCCGGTCCCCATAATTTCATTCCGTTCTCCCCTTTTCTATTTCCTCCTCTCCTTTCCCCTTCCCTCTTTCTCAATTACTTTCCTCACCCCCCCCCCCCCCCCCCCCCCCCCCATCCTGACGCGCACAAACATCTTACTTTCCCTCTCTGATTCAGTTTCTGTCCTGCGCACACATATGAGGAAGCGCCCCCCCCCCTCCCCTTCGACCTTCTCTTGGCAGATTTTACCGTTAGGAAAACCAAGGTTACACAGCTGTTCGTGCGCGCGCAAACACAAATAGTTTGACAGACACACACACACGCACAAACTAAATATGCGCGTATACATATAAACAACACTCATGGCGTGCAGTGCCAGAGGAAAATTTTGTAGAAAATTTAGGAAAAATAAATAATTTTCCGAGCCTAAAATTAAACAATTTATGGCTAAAATCTACCAACCATATTATTGACAGAGATTGCTAGAAAATGTTATAAAAGTAGATGGTACAAGTATTTAAAAACCATAAGCAGACAAGTTACAACCCTTCAAGTTATTTAGAAAACATGTTAAATATATTTAGTCAATTTTAAATCTTTTGTCTGATTTTTTTCTAAAAAAAAGTTAAAATCAGGATTAAGTTGGCTTTTCCTGGTCTTTAACATATGTGGGAAGGGGGAGGGGGTGCCGGGTGCCCCCCCTTCTCTGTACATGATGAAAAAAAGGATATGAGCTTATGATAATTTTTTCTGTAGAATAATAAATAACTGAGTTCTCGGCATTGTAACTGTAAATTTCTATCTCAGGCTTTGTTTCTCGACTTAACCTTGACTAGGGTACCGTTGAACCCTGGAGAAAGAGACTTTAATATTTAAAACTTTAAGTATATGAGGGTCCAACTTTATTAAGTTTTTTTCAATATACATTACTCATCTGGAAAAGATAAATAATTTTCGTACAGTCGTTACTGAAGTCTCATCCAGTTGGGGTAACCCTGTTTATTTAAATGTTTGAAGTTGAGAAGCTAAAGTTGATCTGTATAAATGAAAAGAATACTTTTGTCTAAAAAACACTAATTATTAATATGCACAATCATTGAAAGATTATTTTAAAAATAGTAAACTAAATAAATACAAAAATAAGGAAAAAATTAGTATGTGTAATGTAAATATTGATGTCCATAATTTTGAAATAAAAATATAACCAAAGGAAAAGATACATGATTAAGAATTTAAACACATAATTTTGAGATGGATAAATGTCTAACAAAATAGACTTTAGAACAAGATAAATGATTGAAAGAAAGCTTAAAAAGGTCTTTAAATTATAAAATAAAAACACAGTAGGAATAAGCACTCTTTGTATTATGTTTGTTTTTATCATTGCCACTTCAAAAATTAAAGATTTGTTTTTTGTTTAGTGTCCAGAGAATTGAAGATGCCCGACCCTGTTAGGGTCCCTGACCCCCATCCTAAAAGAAAACCCAGTGCATCAACTGCCCCCTACAAGGTACCCTGTGAACAGTACATGTTTGATTACAACCGATCCAATGGAATCCCCATCTCTCCGGCATACCTGGATCATCTTAAGGATTGGAAAATCCGCGAACCTTCGATGAGAAATTCTCCCAGCCATAGCTCCGGCTTCTCAGATGGAAGTTGTGGCAGTTCACCCTCTCGTAGTCCTAATCTCGGCTTTAAGCATCCAGTTGACGACGGTAGTGATAAACCGTTAAGTCTAGTGATCAGAAAAAATTTAACAAATTTTGAAGATATCAACGCCAATGTTCCTGAGTACACTGTACACAGAACTAATGACTATAGATATCCATTTGCTCCTTCTGGGCCACATGAAGATAAAAAGGTGCTCATACCCCATGATCATGATGAAGCTGAAAATGATAGCGGAAATGAGGACATAGACCGTCCACTAGTTATCTCAGAAGAGGATCCTGAACCTGCCTGTGCCGAGGACCAAGACATACCAGAGGACTTCAGCCTTAAGCTAAGACATGACGATGAGATTGGAAAGGCTACTGCTGGACTAAAAATTAAAGATTTTGCAAAGTTCTCATCACAAGATTCCCCTGCAACAATTCGAACAAAATCATCTGATGAACCTCTGCCACGCCTGGAAACAGAGGATGATGTGTCCTCTGACTGCCTCAGTCTGTCCTCCGGGGACACATGGAGCACCTCTATGGTGGAGGGTAGACCCTACTCTGGTAGCGGGGTTGTGGTTCGTCGTATATCAAGATCCTCTACCGGGGAGACAGTTTATCAATGTGACTTTTGTGAGAAAGTTTTCTCCAACAAGTCTCACTTCCAATCCCATCTGGTAACCCATACTGGAGAGCGTGCTTTCACCTGCAAGACCTGTGAGAAGACCTTTGGCAGGAAGTCTACTCTTCGGGCACATATGACAACCCATACCAAGGTGTCAAACTTTATGTGTACCATGTGTGAGAAAGCTTGCAATGACAACAACTCTTTGGAGGAGCATATGCGAATGCATACAGGTAAAAAACCTTAACAACTTCTTTATCTAAATACATATGATGTTTTATATTATATAATAGTTTGTTTTTAAATGATAGCAATCACTTTTTAATTATATATTTTTATAAAGGCGAGAAACCGTTTGTCTGTTCGATATGTCAGAAAGCTTATGCACGCAAATCCCATTTGAATGTGCACTACAGAGTGCACACAGGAGAACGACCATTTGTCTGTCAGCATTGTGATAAAGATTTTACCGAGAAGAGGTTCCTAAACGATCATCTCCAAACTGCACACAATGGGGCTGATGGTCCACTCAAGTGTCCAAACTGTTCTCGGGAGTTTGCATACAAGACCAGCCTTAAGCAACACTTGAAGAAGCAGATGTGCGAGAGAAATATTAACCGTGGTGGGGGAACCTCAGTTGCTGGGAATGTTGCTAAACAGTTTCAGTGCCCTTTTTGTGAGAAATCCTACAGCTGGAAACAAACTTTAAAGCAGGTAAATTATTTAGTTGAACAAATAAAACACCTAATTTTTCAATAAATTCTTTTGTTTTGATTATTCAATTATTTTATTCAAATTGTTTTTTTTAGCATGTTTCCATGTATCACAGAAACAAAGTCCACACTGATGAATTCTGGAGATACGAATTAACAAAAAACCGGCGAACCATCTTAGATGATAAGGTGAATGAAGACTTGTGGAAGCAGCAACTAGGAAAGCATGCTGAGGAGGCAGCAAAGATAAAGCTAGAAAACAACAATGCCATGGCTCAAGATGATCAGGTCCAATGGTTAGAACAGGTCAACCGGCCAAGCTCTGACATGACCCCTGAAATGAAGCTCATTGCTCTCCAGTCTCTTCAGAAAAGTCTGCAATACATGTCTGTGGCTGGCAACAAGATTTCTGCAGAAAACAGGTTATCAGCAGAACAGCCAGCACCAGAAAACATTCAATTACTTCAAAATTGCGATGCTATTTCTCAAAATGGTGGACCTTTTCCCCAACCAATAAAGCAGGAAGTTGATGTTGGACAAGAAAGCTATCTATCCTTACTGGCAAGAATTTCCCGACGGGAATCTAGTGAACCAAACAACAACACTGATCAAGATAAACCCCCTGTATTGCCAACCAATGAAGAATCTGCTGCTAACCGAACCCAGCTCTGGCTCCAGCAGGTTACCAAGTATCGGAGCAAGGTGTGTAAGGAGGAGCAGGAGTTGAACCATGATCAGCTCTGGGAACAACAAATTGCAAGGATAAAAACTAATCCTGTCAAGTCTCCCCTCGAAACAGAAGAAATTACCTTGGATGACGAACATGACATACAGAACAGTTCTCAAGTCATCTTGCAAGTTCCTAAACAGATAGGAATCATTGGTCAGGCTTGCAATATACTTAACAACAACAACAATGAAACCCTTACAGTGTACAGGGCGCAGTACATACCAGAGCATATACAGCAACCGTCTGATGTACATGTACAACAGCAAACCAATGTACATATCCAGAAACATTCTGTACACCAGGATTCAAATCCGGATAAAGTATTTGAGCAGCCTGCTCCTATATCCTTAGTAACCAGAGAGCAAAGGTTGAGCCAGCCTAAACCTAAACCTGAATCTCCTATATATGAAGATCAATCCATGCTCAAGTCCCTGCTTCTTGACAGATTCAAAAGAAAACGAAGTTCTTCCATTGACATTGAGGAACCTGGAAAGAAGGCTCCAACACCACCATCCCACCTGTTGGTACCCTCCCAACCTGCTTCACCCACCAATCCCGCTTCCCCCTATCATTCGTCCCCGCCCTCCCATCCAGCTCCACCCATAAACCCTGAACTCCAAGGACCTAAGGAGATCCTAAGAAAACGTCTTCTTGGCTGGGTGGATCCGCCCCAATCTCCTTCTTCCATTAGATCTCGTGATTCCTCCGCCTCGCTCAGCGGATCTTCCGCCCCAACAGCACAGGGTGAATCTGACCCATCTGCTGGTGTCCAGGGGCCTTCCGCCACAATACAAAGCTCTTTCACCTCTAGACCAAATGAAAGCCTTTCTCCGTCAGTCGATCTCAATACCTCCACAATTGCAGTGGAGGGCGGACACAGCCAGGTTTCTTACACCCATACGTCCGTTCTTAAGCATTTACTTCACAGATATACGGCGGATTCTAAATAATTGTAAATATTAATCATAATCTTATAGACAAATTTTACAATATACATATATATATATATATATTCAAATTCAATGTTAAAAATTACAAATTTGAAAAAAATTACACATATTTATAAAAGAATTTTACAAATTTATAAAACAGATTCTGTACTATATTAAAAATTTAGACAAAATTTTACAGCCTAAACAATTATTGAAATGTACCTTGGTCCTCATATGTTATTTAGTTATATAGTATGATTTATATGTTATTGCTTTTGTTATTGAAATTGTAGATTTTTATTAACTTCAATAGATATTGAATTATGTAAATGTTATTTTCAAACTGTTTGTAACAATGAAAAGATTGCAGAAAAATTGAAAATATGTAAGTATTGACAATACAATGTTTAAGAAATTCAAAGAGATTAAGGAAACCGTGGTTGTAACTCTAGGCGACTCTTCGTTTGACGTGGTCCATACCTGATTCACTACCGTGACTTTCATTGATCCTTTTTGAGATTAATAATGTAAGAGATATCTTCGTTTTTTTTTAGCTCGAGAGAAAGTTAAAAAATTACTCATTCAATCTTGTACAGACAAAGCGTTTAAGGTTAAGAATCAGTGTTCCGAAGGTTGCCAGCTGTCTTGGAAAAATTGATGACAAGTTTGCCAATTTCTTTTTATCTATGAAAATCAAAAATTAAGTGAATGTAAATGGTACCTGTCTAGGGCTACAAAAAAAGTGGATTTGAGTTTGTGAGATAAAATCATAGGTTAGGGCGTTTTACGACGCTCTATATCCAACCCAGTCTTGAAAATTGATGCATCTTTTCATACAATGGTATGCGATAATAGTAATGTAATGAAGACGACATTTGTATTTAAGATTTTATTGTTCACCAGCTTTTTTAGAATTACAAGTTTACACTAAACTCAAGAAAAGCTTTTTAAATTGAATATTCTCTTTGTTTCCATGGTTTTTGTTTATTCATGCTGTTTAAAAGCTTGATATAAATCAAAATTAGAGTCGAAAGTCGTCTTCATTGTATTGATATAATCGCCTACCACCGTAGCAGCTTGGATCTATGTTGGGTAAGGAATTTGGAAATGCCGTTCTGTAAGTGGGACTGTAGGGTCACTTTATAGCCCAAACTAGGTAAATGGAATGAGTTCAAATTTATGCAGAAATACTGATACGACTTTGCACCCTCTTCGCTTCATGTAAAAAGTGAATCTTATTCTCACGCTTCACGATAAACTTTAGTTTTATACACTGAGACCCATGGAACTGTGAATAGGAAGACGACATTATTGTTTTTAAAATTTTTAGGCTTTTCACTGGCACCACAAAAATTAATTATTATTATTATTATTTATCTATAAAGCACTTCGCTCATATCTTATAGTTGGCTACAAGAATGTAATGCAAGGAAAGTTAATTGCAGTTGCGTATACTCTGCGTACATATTGAAAACAGTTCTCTCTGAGCGGAATTTGTAAACAAGAATAGATGCATCAGTGTTCGTTTAGTATCCGAGGAGGTAAAAAGCATTGAATGTTGATAACTCACATTATAGTTTCCTATGACCAGAATATTTCATTGATTATTTATGTGAAAGATGGATCCCATGTCAGGCTTCGACATCGGTCTTGTGTTTACATTACCGCCCAGTGACAGTACACTGCAGTACAAAAGATGCGTACACCTCTGAAATAACTTTCCTTGCATTAAATTCTTGTCCATGGGTAACCTGGGCCCGGGGCCCGCGGGGTGACATAAGATGTTAGAGTTTTTTTCTTCAAAATCAATAAAAATCCTAGGCCTGTTATTACCTAAAAGTGGACAGTTTCTCATCAGTATGTAATATGGATGAGAGTGTAATGACGACCTGCTAACTCTTATGCCTAGGCCTGTTATGACAATCTCAAAGTTGAATTTTACGGTTAATTTAACAATTTAGTGAAGAAATAAACTAGTTCACAGTTGCATGGGATCATAAATAAAAGAAAAGAGTCTGCATAAATTTCGTACAGTCGTCTCTGGAGTCTCATCATGTGCGAGTAAGCCTGTAAATTTGTGAGATGGCCCAGCCTTCGTTTTAATAATATTTTAATAAACAACAGAAATGTTATTCAAGTTATTAAAGTCTTCCACGATGTTGAACATTTTCGATTAAAATCTAAAATTTAAGTGATCCTCCATATAGAGAGGGACATGCCGACGCACAACAGTACCCTTGGAACTTTAATATAGTCAATAATGGGAGAAATAATGTTATTTCTCTGACTTTAAAAAGTGTATAATTCTTCTAACTTCTCCTTTATTTAAAAAAATGCGAATTTCAGATTTTTGTTTAAAATTTTATCTATTTAATTACTAGCTTGGGAACCCAGCGCTGCCAAGGTTACTAAAAATTACTCCCGCCGTTTACCCGCACTTATAAGATTTTACTGGGAAACTAAATTTTCGTTATTAAAGTAATACTGACGTATAAATAATATTATTAATTAAATCTATTAAAAATAGAAATAACAAATATAAAATTAGAATTGAAGTAAACCTAAGTTACAATTAGCTTTGTCTGGGATATCATCGTTTTCAGATTGGTTGCATATTTGCTGAATTTGATCTATTTAAACCCACTACTTTTATACAAAGTTGTATATATATTAATTTTCGTATTAATTTGACAACGTTGTATACCAATTTCTCGAGATAGGAACATCAGATATAACTTTCATGGGTTGTTTTCGAGTGATTAGCTTTCAGCCTATACCCCCTTTCATTTTTCCTTTATAGTCCCTTTAAAGTCGACCAACTCAACTTAAAATCTCAAAACTAAGCTAAGATTCTTTCCGTTGGTCTCACAAGTTACCCAATCAAAAGTAGAGGCAAATCGGTCCAGGGATTCTAAAGTTATGATCGGACAAACAAACATACAGACAGGCAAACAGAGAGAACAACTTTATATATATAATAGTATGTATCTACATATAGAGTTAGTTCTGTGTTTCCACCAAAGTAGACAAGATCTCTTAAAAAACGCAGTAGCCCAATTTAAATAATATTTGTTCACTGAACACGTTTTTTGTTGCGTCTTAGAATCTTTAAATGTTTTAACCAAACAATCATTCCAAATTCTAGAACTGCACAATAGTCTTTCTTCTTGTAAATAAAATGTAAAAAAGTTCTACAATAAACTACAGACGTCATGTATAGGAACATGATGAGAAAATAAAAATCAATCTTGTTCAATCATTAGTTTCTATTATCTCATTATTCTGGTTTCTCATTATTCACAAAGATTTTCGCCGATTTTCTAGAATTATTATTGAAAAGACGACATTTGAAGAATTTAAACAAATATGCAAATAAATTCAAAGAAAATAAGAAATTCAATATAATCTAAATAGATTACTGTATAATTTTTACTTTATTTTTCGTTGTCGTTATTTGATAATTAAAAGAAAAGTAGAAGTTTTGAACGTCAAATTTACAGATCTTTAAAAAGGTAAATCTATCTCAAATGAATCCGAAAGAAGTTTTCCAAAACACTACATACTCAGTTCAACTACCTTACATAGCCGGTAACTCCCTTTAAAGACTCCCGATTCACTCCGGTACCCTTTAATCCTTTGGACTGATCAGGGATTACAGAATTTCCTTATTTATATCATGAATTAAACGCTTGTAATTGAACATTTTGTTTGTAAGAGCTTTGTTATTTAAGGAATATTAATATTCACTTTCTAGAAGTCACAGAATAGGAATATTAATATTCACTTTCTAGAAGTCACAGAATAGAAATATTAATATTCACTTTCTAGAAGTCACAGAATAGAAATATTAATATTCACTTTCTAGAAGTCACAGAATAGAAATATTAATATTCACTTTCTAGAAGTCACAGAATAGAAATATTAATATTCACTTTCTAGAAGTCACAGAATAGAAATATTAATATTCACTTTCTAGAAGTCACAGAATAGAAATATTAATATTCACTTTCTAGAAGTCACAGAATAGAAATATTAATATTCACTTTCTAGAAGTCACAGAATAGAAATATNAAGAAATGTTTATTTTTTAAATGATACACTTAGGATTAGGATATTTATAAGATTTGAAAAAATATATTTTTGTATATCTTAGATATATTGATATAATTTAAAGTATTTTTAATGAATTTATGTAGGAATAGCATGCTTTAACGTTTACAGAAAGAATCTTGATAAATGTTTAATAAATTTTCTAAAAATAAAGCTCGTTTACGTAGGATAAAATAGTATCAATATGATATCTTTACGGTACTTAACAATTTAACTGACTATATAACTTGAACAGTGAACAAAAGTGCCGTACATTAAAATAATCGTGCACTTTTTTTGACTCAAGAACAGTGAACAAGTTTCAAGTGTGAAGTTTTTACAAATGAAAAAAATTTACATTTCGTTTAATAACAAAAAATAATTTTTATACAAAGGATGCAACATCAGAGATGACATTTTTCAATATCTCAATAAATAATGGTGTTAGCCGGTTCTACTTTTGCATGTATACTAATCTGATGCTCTAGGAATAGTATATGACGTCAAATCTTCAATGTCTCCGTGCGGAGATACAGGATAAGGTACCTCCGTCGGCTCCGATTTTTTTTCTCCGGCCCCTATGAACTTACAGAGCCCACTTACACCTAAGGACCTATATAATTTAATAAAAGAATCAATTTTTTTTTCGATTCTATCATGCGATGACTGGGGGTAAAAAACTGCATTTTTTCATTTTTTTTTTTGGGGGGGGGGGACGCCTGATAAAAATAACTGAAGAAAATGGGTACAAGGGCAGAATATACAATATTTATATTTTGTAAAATCATTAGATCCTAAGGTGTTAGTGTTTTGAATTTGGGACCGGAGTTGAAAAATCAGAGCTATCGGAGTTTCATTTTCTCCGAACGGAGATTTGACCTTTTATCTTATTCCTAGAAGAGTAAACATGCAAAAATGAAACCGGCTAGCACCATTATGATAGTAAAAAAAAATGAATGGAAAATATTTTTTGACACCCTGTAGGGGGTGATGTGCACTTTTTTTGAAACCACCTTTTCTAAAAAAGTTTCATAATAGTTTAGAAAACATTTCCAGTACCCTTTTCTTTCGTTATTTTTGATCAGAAGTCCCCCCCCCAAAAAAAATATTTTTAAAAAAATGATAAAATGCAGTTTTTTAACACATAATGAATTCGAAAATTTTTAAACATTTTTTTCTTAAATTATATAGGTCCTAAGGTGTAAGTATTTTGAATTTGGGCTCTGTAAGTTCTAAGGGGCCGGAGATTAAAAAAATCGAAGCCGACGGAGGTATCTTATCCCATATCTCCGGTCCCCGAACGGAGAAATTAGAGTTTGGAAGTCATATCCTTTACTAGAGCAACAGATGAGTATACATGCAAAAGTAGAACCAGCTAACACCATTATTTATTAAAATTTTTTTTAATTATCTTCTTCCAAATCTTGTTAATCCCTTCATCATACTCTTTACTTTGGCCATCATGGGCGGGGCCTTCGGTTTCCTGGGGAAAGATAAAAATAAGATAATATTATTGATTTTTAGTTTAGAATTCAAAATTTCTCGCACTCTTAATAATTATTTTTTCTTCATTACCATTATTCCATGTTTAAGTAATTAATTCTTTTCATTAATTTTAATTATTTTTGGAGCTGAGTCAATGAATCAGGAAAATTATTGAAATATTTAAAGGAAAACTACGATAAAAAAAGGTTTGGAAATAATATCCAAACCCCTTGGAAAAGTTGTCCCGGAGTTATGTTATGTTGAGACTAAAAATCGTCTTTTAAACTAAAATCCGGGAACTAAAAATAAAAAATAAAAAATAAATAAAAATAAAATCGTAAAAAATTTAAAATTGGAAATTAAAAGGCAACTTTTTTCTATTATTTTTTGATACTTTTTACCCAAAAATTCATTAATTTTTCCCTAGATTTTTTCATTTTCAATTCAGTGAATAAATCCATCAAAAATTCATATTTATATTTAACTTTTGGGAGAAGACAAAGAAGCATTGTTTATATTATTTGTACCTGGCAGTAGGTATGCCAGGTCTACTAGACCCAGCTGTAGGATCAGATATTCTAGGTCGAGGGGCGCCAACCTTGGAGACATGACCTACAGGTAACCCAGTCCCATTCCTCTCCTAATCAATCAATCAATATATCAATAAATCAATCAATCAATCAATCAATCAATCAATCAATCAATCAATCATACGATCAAGTAATCAAAAATACACTCAATCAAACATACGATCAAGTAATAAAAAAAAACACTCAATCAAACAATCCGTAGATTAATCAATCAATCAATAAATCAAACATGAAATAATAAATCGTTTAACCAAACAAACAAAACAAACACCCAATCAATCAATCTATCAATTAAACAAACAATCACGAAATCAATCAAATCTATCAAACAACAAATCAATCAGTCAATATATCAGTCATTAAAAAGAGAAAACTAGTAATGAAAGTTAAAAACAGTACTTAGGATCCGGATCAAATGGCAAAATATCAAACAACTGCTAAACAAATCTTATGCTCTCATAACTCAAATATTGAAAAAAGAGAGATTATCAAAAGTTTCCTTGTCTCTGAATGGTTCATTCAAGCTGTTGCATAAAAAGAAGTAAAAAAAGTAAGAAAAAAATTTCTAGGATTCCTTTTCTGTTTAAAAAATCAGTAAATCTTAAATAAATGATCGTGATTTGGAATCCGATTAAATGAATTAAAAAATCAATCTATTGTACTAAACAATTCCTTGTCTAATTAAAATAGCGACATCTAGTGGCTATATCTAAGGGGTTTAATTAGTCTAGTTCATCCTGCCTTAGTATAGTACGCCTCTTCAGTACAGTGTACAAACTAACCTTGAGTTCGTATAGTTTATCCTGCCTCTGTTGAGTACATCTCTACAGTACAATGTGCACACTAACCTTGAGTTAACCTAGTTTATCCTGCCTCTGTATAGTACGCCTTTACAGTACAGTGTACACACTGACCTTCAGTTAGTCTAGTTTATCCTGCCTTTGTATAAAACGCCTCTACAGTACAGTGTACACACTAACCGTGAGTTAGTCTAGTTTATCCTGCCTCTGTATAGTACGCCTCTACAGTACAGTGTACACACTGACCTTCAGTTAGTCTAGTTTATCCTGCCTTTGTATAAAACGCCTCTACAGTACAATGTACACACTAACCTTGAGTTAGTGTAGTTTATCCTGCCTCTGTATAGTACGCCTCTACAGTACAGTGTACACACTGACCTTGAGTTTGTCTAGCTTATCCTGCCTCTGTTGAGTACACCTCTCGTACATCTCTCTCCAGCTCTCCATCTCTTCTCTCTCCTTGGACCGGAAGTCCCTCATACAGTGCTTCTCCCATAACTAAATATCACCGTGGTCAGCATATATATCAATACAAAATCGTTTACTGAAATGGTGATAAAAAACATACTACATTCAGTATCCAGTACTGAAATAGATAATAAGATTGGTCAGTGTAAATACCAGTAAATTATCAGGTACTGTAATTTCAGTTACCGACAGTCGACTGTAAGGAGTATGAAAAAGAAGGGAGATATAACTGACGCAGCCCGCCCTACCAAATGATTTTACATGCTTTGAAGGCGGTACTCCATTTGAATAAGAAATATTTGTCTGATGTAAAATTCCCGCGTATAAAATAACCTATTCTGAATATTTCTTATACAAATGGAGTACCTGTCTGAAAAGCATGTATATTCATATGATAGGGCGGGCCGCGTCATTTATATCTCAATTCTGTTTCATACTCCTTGCAGTTCTTGCAGTAGACACTATTAATGTACAGGTTGTCCATCGAATCATGACAGTAGCAAGACGAATTGAAAGTCGTCTTTGAACTTTGAATTTATTTGTGACATTTAATAGTAAACCTACTTTCACATGTATGATTCTTGAAACAACAGGTACAAAATTTTCTTTGTCATGGCATTTCCTAAATGTCGTCTGCGTTTTTTGTGGTGTAAATATTACCGGAGATATAAAGAATTAGCGCAGAATTTCTTCTGGAAAGTATATCCAGAAGGAATTTTAAGCTAATTCCTTCCATCTTATCGCTACTAATACAAATTAATGCTTGCTTCTGAGATTAGCAATACAATAATTCTAACCGCCACGCAGGTCATCAAAATCGTTTTACTACCTTTGACGTGTTAGTTGGTCCTGTCATGAGATGCGTGTTCAAATCCTCGATATGCATCAAGGTTTTAGGACTAGCCCGCTCTAGAACAGTTTCAAGCACATCGTAGTTCAGGTTTCCAACCTCATCAATATCATCAACATGATCCTGTAGAACCATGATACACTGCTCAAACAGCGAGGGAACCTCCTGGAAAAATCTAGTGCGCTTCTTGCCGCTAAAATAAGAAATTATTTTTGAAAAAAATATACTTTAATTTATAATTAACAACCCAAAACTCTTTTTGCGTTTTTTTTCGTGCTTGTATATTTTTCATAACCCCCCCAGACCCACCCGGAAAAAATGATTTTTAATGATTTTGGGAAAAAATAAAAATTGAAAATGAAAAAAATGTTTTTTTTCCCCCACGCTTTAAATACCTTTTAACAAAAATTCATTTATTTTCCCTAAAAAATCTATGGTTTCCCCAATTCAGTTAATAAACCCTTAAAAATGTACACCCCGGGATTTTATTTTTAATGAAATAAATATAAATCATTCTAAACCTGTAAACTGCAGAGCGTGTTTTCTTCTGTCCCATGAGTACTCCGAGTCTTTCATCCTCTGAGGCTGCATGCCTGAAATCAAGTTTTAAACCTCTTCTTGAAATTTGAACTAATTTGAAATGAAATCTGAAAAAGAGGTCCCGTTATGAACCCCCCAGATCGCCGGCAGGCACAGGAAGCACCGTCCCATCCCTGCTCTAGGTAGACTTTATACCCTCAACAATTATTCCATTGTCATAAGATATTGAAATATTTTGTTAATATGGAAAAATTAATTAAAATTTATTGGCTGCCAAAATACAAAAATATCTTTAATTCTATTTTATGGACTCTATTGGAGGTCTTGGCAGTGGTTTATAAACTGGAGATATCTCTTGTACACTAATGGAGGAGGTATATACCTGGACTCTATTGGAGGTCACTACACTAATGGAGGGGGTATATACCTGGACTCTATTGGAGGTCTTGGCAGTGGTTTATAAACTGGAGATATCTCTGGTACACTAATGGAAGAGGTATATACCTGGACTCTATTGAAGGTCTTGGCAGTGGTTTATAAACTGGAGATATCTCTGGTACACTAATGGAAGAGGTATATACCTGGACTCTATTGGAGGTCTTGGCAGTGGTTTATAAACTGGAGATATCTCCGGTAAACTAATGGATGGTGTCAGCATTGATGGAATATTCCTGGCTACAGATGGTGGAGGAGGTGGAGGAATGGAAAACCTCTCAGGGCTATCATCAGATCTAAATAAAAAGAATAATAAAACGATTCCAATTTTTGTATGGTAAATTGAATTTCATTACATAAGTAAGCAAATTATGAATTTGATTTTAATTTTCTTCAAAACATTTGTATATCTGTGAGATAAGAATTCAGGATCCGGTTTCGGATCCAGATTTTATTTAGGAAGGATCCAGGATCGGGATCCGCATAAAAATATAATGGATTTTACGCACTGACTGCGATAATAAACATTTCACCTGTATCCATTCCTCTCCTCTATTTCTATGAGATCTCGAGATCGCTTCTCTTTTGGTCTTCCATCCTGCGGGCTTCCATCCCGGGCACGCTTTCTGTTCTTTTCCTTTAGTAAAATAAATAGTTTCTTTCCTGTTTTATTTGTTTATGGTATTTCAGCGCCAATGTACATTTAGTATTTATCCCGTTTTTTCATGTGTTTATTCAGTGCTTAGGATCCGGATCCGTAAAAATATGCGGATCCAAGGGCTAAAATATCAACCAAAAACTGCAAACAAAATTTCCTCCAAAAACCAAAATCTGAACTTTTGAAAAAAAGAGAAATTATAAAAATTTCCGCATTTCTGAATTGATCATCAAGTTTTAGGATAAAAATAAGCGAAAAAAATAAAACAAAAAATTTTGAAAATTATTTTTTTAGAGGGGAAATTTTGAATAATAACCTTCCAATTTTAAAAATGACAATGAATGCTGTTTGATCTTAAAGCCACCCCAGTTTAGGAGACCAATATGACGGGATTAAACACACCGTAGGTGTAAACATGTCAATTTTCTAATTGCTAACAGCTTAGAGTGTCCCGTCTTCAATATTTCGAGTGCCCTTGCATTTACAGGGTTGCATTTACAACAGTATTACAAAGCTTTGTAGGATCAATTATAGGTTCTTTGCTACAGACACATATTTGGCAGATATTAGGCATATTTGCGCAGAGCGCGCGTCGCACGTTTTAAATATAACATGGATGAAACATACATATCATCCTCTGCTTGTAAACTGTGCTCCGCCTTTAATATAACATGGATGAAACATACATATCATCCTCTGTTTGTAAACTTTGCTCCGCCTTTAATATAACATGGATGAAACATACATATCATCCTCTGCTTGTAAACTGTGCTCCACCTTTAATATAACATGTATGAAACATACATATCATCCTCTGCTTGTAAACTGCGCTCCGCCTTTAATATAACATGGATGAAACATACATATCATTCTCTGCTTGTAAATAACTGCTCCGCCTTTAATATAACATGGATGAAACATACATATCATCCTCTGCTTGTAAACAACTGCTCCGCCTTTTTTTAACATTTGAAAAAATTTTATGGGACTTCNCATATCATTCTCTGCTTGTAAAAAACTGCTCCGCCTTTAATATAACATGGATGAAACATACATATCATCCTCTGCTTGTTAACAACTGCTCCGCCCTTAATATAGCATGGATGAAACATACATATCATCCTCTGATAGTAAACAACTGCTCCGCCTTTTTTTAACATTTGAAAAAAAAAATTTCAACATTTATTAAAATAAGGTAGTGCATTATATGGGACTGCTGTATTTTCTTTTTTAGCTGATTATACATCCATATTTTGCTCCTCTCTCGTAGATCATAGATACGCATTCTAATCTCTTGTAGACACATATTTCTGCTTTTTTCTCCCTAATATTACGCAAATTGACCCAGAGTTGCAGCATAAGGTCTTAAATTTCGTCTTCTGCTTTCATAATTTCATCATAGTGCTTAGGATCCATTACATTTTTAAGCGTATCAAGATCCGGATCCTGGATCCGCACTAGAAAAAAATAGATCCGGGTCCAAGTCATTTATTTTAGATTTACTGAATTTAAAAAAGCAGAATTTTCACATTTTGTCTTTTTTTCGGTAGTTCAGATTTGAATTAAGGAGTAAATTTTTTTCTTCAGTTTTTGCTCGACATTTTGCCCCTTGGATCCGGATCGTAAGCAATGGTTTCATGTGTCCTTATCTAGATTCATTGATTAATTGAAAGATATTTACCATTTTTCGCTTTTGCCTCTCTGCTTCTCTTTGTCTTTCTCTATCAATTAGTTTCTCCTTATCACTCGATCGTTTTTTATCACAGCTTTTTTCTTTATCACGTTTGTGTTCTTTGTCACTGCCTTTATCACTTCTATGCGACTGTTTGTCACTTTTATTGGATTCCTTGTCTCTTCGTTCTCCGTTTTCTAGTTTTACTAAAACTTTCTCCTCCTGAAACATAAAAAATATTTCATATTTTCATATTTAGATAAATTTTTCGAAGTTAACGTATCAATTTTCAAAAAAAAAGAAAACATTGTTCATATAATAAAAAGTGCTCCATCATATACCATCAAATACCATCAAATACCATCAAATACCATCAAATACAATCAAATACCATCAAATACCATCAAATACCATCAAATCAAATCAAAGAAAGTTGTAGCAAAGGACGAAGGGGTAATTTTGAACAAATAACAAGACAGTTGTTCGGTATAATGAGAAGGGGGTAGCTAACCTTAAGAGACCCGGACGGTTTTAGAAATCCACTCAGATCATTTTCATCAAGTGTTTCAGTTTTTATTCTGACAATCCCAGTTTCTTTGGTTTCATGTCTTTCTTTATCACAGTTCTTCTTTCTCTCTCTTTCTTTATCACTTCGTTCTTTGTCCTTTTCTCTTTCTTTATCTCGGTGTGATGATTTGGAAGGTTTATGCTCCTTTCTGTGTTCTGTTTTAACCAGCTCCTTCTCTTTTCTTTCTGGATCTTTTTCTTTTTTATCTTTATGCTTTTTCGCCATTTTTTCTCTATTTTTCACTTTTTCCTCCTCTTCTCTGTTTCTTATTTTGCTTTCACTTCTTCTTTCATCAGATTTTTCGTCTCGGTGGCTTTTCTTATGTTTGTGTGGTTTGGGGGTTTCTTCCTTAATCGTTAATTCCTTCTTGATTGCAGGTTCTTCTTTAAACATCTTTCCTAAACCTCCATTCATCACTTTCTCTTCTGCTGGATTGTACGAGTCCGGTAGTTCCCGCTTTATTTCAAGATTGTCTGAAAATAATAGAAAAATTAGTGTTACATTTAACAACAGAGATGTAAATTTTCTTCCAAGAAAATATTGAAAATAATTTGTTGCGTGATAAGTAAGGAGTTTTTTAGTATTGGGAAAATAAACGATGTTAAGTNCCCCAAATCTTCAAAATTATCCATCCTCTCCCCTCCCGAAACTGAATTACCAATTGGTGTTGGAATGTACAGGGGAATTAGCGGAGTGGGAATATAAGTTGGAATCCTCTCGTCTTCTCTCTCCTCCTCCTCTTCCGCCTCCTCCTCCTCTTCATCCTCATCCTCCTCCGGGGCAACCTCCCTTTCAGCCTCCTCACTCCGGACAACCTCCTTCCATTTCATGACGAGATCACGAGCCCTAATAAAATATTAGTGAATATGAGCTTTGTCAAGATAAAATATTATGAAACATCTATGATTTGCGAAGACTTGAGAGAAAAATAAAAAATTGAACATCCAACGGGAAGGTTACCCCACATTTTTAAACTATAAATTCAAAATTGTTTATCACTTTCCCTAGAATTCATTTATTTTAATAAATTAAGATTAAACTCCAGTAAAACCGTAACAAGTTTACTAGAAAAAGACAAGGGGCTGAGTGCTGCGGCTTTCATGCAAGAATGACAATTTTTTTTTTTTAAATTTCATTAAAAAATACAATGTCAGAAAAAAATGTATGTATGTAGGAAAATATACAGATAACTATAGGATACTTACTTCACACCAATTTCTGAATCCCCATATTGTTTCTTGAGAACACCGATAGTTCTTCCAACACCCGTTTCCTGCAAACAATATCATATTTTCAGTATCTCGGGATTTTTTGCTTTGTTACACGAGGGGAGGAAGGCCCGCCACATCAATTTCTCGTCCGAGCCACATTCTCCTCATTTTCTCGTCCCAGTCACCTTGAAATCCTCGTCCTTCGATTATTATGTTTTAAAAAGTTTCCAATTCTCTAAGATAGAACTATTTTTTTTAAATCAGGCCATGTTAGGGCTTAAAATATGGATAGACTGAAGTATGCAATGATTGCATCATGTTGGAATCTTCAAACCCATGAGAATGATGTCAAACTTTATTCCTTCCCTCGTTACACAGCAAGGAGAAATTAAATGCATGCATATGACTCTTTCACCAAAATTTAACATTCTTTAGGATCAACCCTCTCATTAAATAACTGCAAATTCAAGACGGTTAAATCGTCATTAATTGAGAGTTTAGGAGAATGCTCTAAACATTCTTGATAATTCCGTTTTTTTTTGTATCAAACCTGTAACAAGGAAATATTGACTTTCACCATATTCAGCTTTTCCAGACACCTTAGTAGGGTGGCTACATCATCCTACAGACACAGCAATACAATAATGAAAAGGGTGGAGGGGGNATTGAATGGTGTGGTGACCTCGAAACTAGTATCCCTCCCCCCCAACCTTAAAAAATGTTCAGCAGGGGTCCACAAACAGACTAAAAGCTATGATTGTTTGAGCTTGTTCCTTGTATTTTAGAATTTTCTTATTATAATGATTTAAAACTTCCAACTCGTTCCCTCCCATTCTTGCGTCACCCAAATCTGAAAAAGACTCAGTAAATTTAAGATTTCTGTGTCAAGATTAATTACAAACAAGATTATAAGATATATATATTCTTCTTGAAAGTTATAATAGATTTTATAAAAGTTTCCACATGAGCTGCGAGCATAAAAGGAGAACCGGTTTCAGGTTAGAGGAAGAAATCAGCTGATTCGACCCTCGGTCTGTTCAGGGGTCAATCTTAAATATTTAAAAACTAAAAACAAATTTTTCTAATCACGAAACAAACATTTTTACATATTTTTATAAAAAAAATAAGAGATGAAGGTCTTGTCCCTGTCCTTTAAAAAAGTATTTGTAGATTTTATAACGAAGACGACAATTTGGAACACTCTGAAGTCTGAATTATGAAAAAATGTAGTATGGTGTCGTATGAGTCGTACTCGTATCGTTTGCACTAATGATTGATCGGACTAACGTACATTCGCACTATAACGTTCATTCGGACTAAGGTTTAGTGCGAATGAACAACTAATTGTTCAATCAAACTATAAAATACCACGTTGAAGGTTTTTTGAGCACGTGAAGAACTATTTTTTTAAATTATAGCGGAATTCGGTTCATTTAATAGTTCCATTGAACAAAAAAAGCTAAAAGTTCTGATAAAATCGATGAATTAGCACTAATGAACATATTTAGTGCAAATGAACAAAAAAATGAATTCGAATCGACTATAAAATCTAAAATTTTACCATTTTGACCATAAAATATTATTAGAACAAATAAACATATTATAGTGCAAATGAACAAAAAATGTTAAATCGAACTAATTAATCTAAAATTTTACCATTTGCCCATAAAATATTAATAGTTATACAAATATAGTGCAAATGAACAAAAATATCAATTCTATTGAAAATATTATAATATTTGAAAATTCTAGCCGTCCAAGGCCAAAAAGTGGCGTTTATTTTAATTTCAGGTATAGAAACATCTAGCGGCGAAAATTGGATTAATTTATTTTTCATTAATTCTCATAAATCAGAATTTAAGAATCAGAAAGAAATTGTCCGCAATAAACCAACGCCGCGCCCGTTGAAATAGATCAGCTGAAGTGATTTCTCCAAACCAAACTTAATCTAAACAGCAACTCCGGAGAAATACAAGAAGAAATGATTGAGACAGAGAGTTTCTGTTGAACGACAATGACATGACTCATCCCCTAGAGAATAACGATAAATCCTGTCATGTTGAATAAATGCACGTGTTATTTTTACAACTAAATATTAGCTAAAAATAAAAAAATGTGGATAACATATAAAATTCGTGGTATGTTTGGTTTTATTAAATTTAACATCTTGGAATCTGTAATATCAAATTATATGCTTGAAGCTACATTGCATGATTTGAATTTGAAAGGTATGAAAATTATAGTTTAACAAAATGCACCTAAAATATTTTTCAGAAATTTACTTGTAAAAATGTCGAGTAATGAGAGCGCCCTGTCTGCAGTTCTGTCGAAGGTAACGTTTAATGTTTAGAGATGTAGGTAATTTCTTAGTATACAAAAATCGTTTTCTATGAATGCTTCTTCCAGGCGCGCAACTAGACATTTTGTTATGGAGGGGCAAGATGTAAATATTTTGCACGACGCGTGAAATTTGTTTTTGCCCCTCCCTTTACATTTTTAGGGGGTGGGGGGGGGCAAGAAAAATGTGTATTACACTCAAACAATGAAAAAAACTAACCTTACTAACCGGATATTTTATGACCCCAATTGATATGAAAGAAAAAAAGAAATTTATCAAACAATTTTTTTTTGTTACAGGAAAATGTCTGAAAAAGAATGGGGGGGAGGGTGTATTCTATGCCGCAATGCCCGGGTCTTTTGGTATGATCCAGCCGTAGCGCTCGGTCCAGTAATTATCTGATCTTAACCTAACCCTGAAATAATACATTCAAATTATTCATGTCGAAACAGAGTTAAATTGCGTGTATGAATACAATAGTAAGGAGAAGGGGGGGGGGGGATAAATCCTATAATAGGACTGACCCCTTTCTCTCTCTTTCCCTTAGTTTTCTAAGGAGTGAGTTGTATTAAATGGATGAAAATGAATTTTTTTACTACTAAAATCCGAAATTTTGTAGATTGTAAAACTAGGGACTATATTTATTTAATTTCAAGAAGTAAGCCCAAATTGAACCACTTCTCTTAGTTTACGCAGTTTAACCACTTCTTGCTATTCATAAAATCTGGTCCCAGATAGCCAAAATTAAATCATGTGTTTTTGAAATCTTATAAACCATGAATCACAAATTTGACTTTTTTTCTAATGTCGTCAGTGTGTACTTAAGGCTCAATACGATCCTTAAAAATACCAGTTTATTGCACAAAAATTTCACAAAATGCTTTGAAATTCTGTAAAAGTTATTAACCTCTCCTAGACCCTTATTATGTAATTATTGTTGTAGGTAAAATACCGCCACGCCGACCTGACCAGAAGGGACTGCATGAATGTGATGCATCATTACAGAGGACTAATCCCCAAACAAGTAGAATTTAAATGTTTACTCTTTAAAAAATGTTTTTTTTAATCGAAAATTGACCTTTATTGAAGTGAAAGCGAAAAAGGCTTGCTAAAATACACATTTCTTTGAACCACTTCTCTTAAACTTAAGCCGGATTTACAGGAGAATTGATTGAACAAGGTCTATGTAGTTGAACTATATCTCGTTAGTCATTAAATCCTTTCTCTGATCTTTCACTGGTGACTCAAATTAGAAGATAAATTTGAGTAACTGCATTCATTACATTGCAGGGGGTTATAATTTGATTGATTTGATTTAATGATTTTTGAGAGGGGGGGGGGGTTTAAAAATCGGCCAATATTTTCAAATTTGTACTCAAAAATTAAGCTGGTGTCCTAAATTATTTTCTTTTAAATTCTTTTAAATACGTTGTTTTTATTTCAGGACAAGTTCACATTTAACGACGGGTTGCAGAGAGATCTAATCACACTCTCAGGGACTATACCAGTACCATACAAGGTAAATTAATCACTCATATTGATTGATTGATTGATTGAATGATATCAAGATTCATCGATCATTTGTTTTTCATGGGTTGAATTTTGTTTTCTGGTTAAAAGTAACACTGAACTTGAATAGGGGCTGCAAGTCCTTTTTAAAGCGGTATCTTCTAATGGAGATATTCTAGTTTTACTATCTAAAACTTTATCACTTCCAATGGTGGTTTCTCTATAAAAATAACTTACTAATGGATGCATCAGAGATGAATGAAAAATCTTTCCAATTTTTGCTTAGATAGGGTTAGCAATGTAAATCTAGCAAACATCTTATTGAAAGCTGGGTCACTAAAAATCACTCAGCAGTTCTTTAAAAAAAGTGACCGACTAATCCATCTCTCTAACTACACACATCTTCTAGATCTAGCGATATATAATTATATCTATCAATCTCTTATCGATCTAGGGGTTGACCTACAATATACCTGTCTCTGTATGGCTTCTGGACACCCATCCATACAACGCTCCTTTGTGCTATGTTAAACCAACTCAGGTAACAATACTGTATCTACAGAATTATCGTAATGTAACAAATGCCGTACTCCAATAGTTCTTTTAAGTCTATATCAATCCAGATACAACCCGCTCTCGAACTCAATGTTCTCTAATAATACTTCAGTCTGTATCAATCCAGATACAACTCGCTCTCGAACTCAATGTTCTCTAATAATACGTAAGTCTGTATCAATCCAGATACAACACCCTCTGTATTCTTTAGTATGTATCGTTCAGATACAATTCTCGCTCTGGAACTCAATGTTCTCTAATAAAACTTTAGTCTGTATGAATCTAGATACAACACCCTCTGTATTCTTAAGTATGTATCGTTCAGATACAACTAATTGTACAATGTACATTGTACATACAAGTAACTATGTAACGTTGATTCAAGATATTGTTGATACTTTAAGTTTATTGTGATTGTAATTGAAAACATTTGTCATATTTTTGAAAATCATCCCGGCCCCCCAGAATTTTGGTACGTTTTTAGGGTTTTATTCGCTGAATGGGGGAAAATAAATGATAAGTTACAGTATGAAAATGAAAAAAACTTTCGAGGTCAAATTTTTCATTTTTTCCTCCAGATCTTCTAAAACCAAGAGGGGGGGGGGATAATACTTGAAAAAAAACACCCTGGTCAACTCTTTTTATTGTAGGATATGCAGATAAAAGTATCTAAACATGTAGACACCAGTGGAAAGATCTATCTCCCCTATTTGCACGAATGGGCATACCCTAATTCCGACCTCATTGGTCTTATACAGGTTACATTTTATAGAGTTTGAAATTTATGAATAAATTTATTAAAAACCACAAATCAGATTAACGACGTATTAGTAAATTGGATTGCTTAGCTTTCTTGCAGAGAAGGAAATAGTCCAGTTGTGTGTCTCTCACATCTATAAAATTCAAACTTTAAGATCTTTTTATTTCCGCTTTTGCCAGAACTGCCTTCTCCATATTGTGGCGTGGACTATGGATTAAATAAAGATGCTTGAAGAATATTCAGAATTATTTTTGGTTTTTTTTTTTATCATCAGTTATTAGTTAAAATTTTGGAATTAGTGCTTAGGATCCATTTAATTTTGATCCAGATCAAAAAAATGGATCCGGATCAAGATTTTCTGATTTTTTTTTACTAAAAATAATGTTCAAATTTTTGTTTTATTTTTATTCTAAAACTTGATGAACCATTCAGAAATGAGGAACTTTTTATAATCTCTCTTTTTTCAAAAGTTCAGATTTGGGTTTTTGGAGTAAAAAAGTTTTTTTTGCAGTTTTTGGTTGATATTTTACCCCTTGGATCCGGACCCGTGAATCCGCATATTTTTGCGGATCCGGATCCAGGAAGCCAAAATCTTACGGATTTAACGGATCAGGATCCTAAGCACTGCTAGTTACCAGTTTGATAATTAAGTTAAAATGAGTTGTTTGAATGTAAAGCAACTGTTTTATTATTCACATAAACTGGTTTCTGAGCCCTTCAACCAACATATAGGAAGGAGTAAAGTCCGTTCAGAAATATTAGTATTTAATCTAGTATTTTGATATGTTTAGATTTGTATTATGATATGTTTAGATTTGTATTTTGATATGTTTAGATTTGTATTTTGATATGTTTAAATTTGTATTATGATATGTTTAGATTTGTATTTTGATATGTTTAGATTTGTATTTTGATATGTTTA